GTGAATTGAAAAATTGCTGTAAAGTTTTAACATGCTAATGGGCTGGTGGCCAAACACAAAATTTCCTGATAATGCAAATCACATTTCTGATGGAAATGAAAAGAAATACACTCTCTTAAAAGTGTAAGGGGATAGCAAATATAACACCGAGAAGAGAACAGAGGAATTTCCATTTTAAAAGCAAGAGAGGGACTAGTCCTTCCAAAAAATCCAGCTTTGCCAACTTGCATAATGTAATCCTATAATTGCTATGCAGCCTCCAGCCAAATACTTTTAAAATGGGAGGTAGCTTTCTGGTACAAAAAAACATTGAGGTAATGTAGCAAACAGAAAATAGTACATTTGTTCTCAGTTCAATACATGAAACATTCAAGACTTTGGCATCTCCTAATTTTGAACTGAATGGTTGAAAAGTAAACTCTCCTAAGTGCAAATTGCCCATTAGCAATTCATTCTTAACCTTTATTCAACTCCAAGAAGTTTACATTTGCTAATAAGTAGTTTCCAAACAATAAATAGACCTTTGTAGACATGATTAGGCTATATCAAAAAGATTTTATATAAAAAAGATTCAAGTTATAAAAATTCTGCAATGGTACTTATATTTTCCTAGGAAAAAAAGGAGATATTTTTTTAAAAAGTTAAAAATAGAGTTCCTCCTTTAACATAAATTATGTTGATTTGATCCATCCAAAGTTTACCATGATTAAATGATATACATTTAGGTCAAAGAGTTAAACATGTATTTAAGTCTCTTTTGTTAAACTTTTGGAACTTAAGTGTTTGTTTTGCAAGAGTGATTGAAGGAGAAAAAAAGTTTTCTTCCAAAATCTGATTTCTATTACGGTTATTGCATTCTTTGCTAGAGTTCAATACTTGTGTTCATTTAATCTGTGTGATTATGAAGGATACATATCAATATGAACTAGGGATTTTAAAAGAGGGAGGTGATCATGGAAAAACATCATATAGAATCTGTAGGTGGAAAAGCATATTGCTGTAACAGTTTGGAGCAGAATCGTTTGGATCAGAATGAATTCTTAACCATTCATCCTTCTTGGCATTACACAATTTAATTAATACCATTAAACATTTGATCAGAAAAAGTTAGGATTAAAATATTAAAATTACAAAACAAAGTTATAAAAATTTCAAAAAATAGGGAATTAGCAGTTGTTAATACAGGTGGAGGGATTCACATGTAGTACTTTATAGATAACAACTAATATCTTGAATTGGACCCGGAAGCAAATTGGCACCCAATGGAATTCACATAGCAGAGGTATTGTATGTGCTCTTTTTAGGGCATCCAGTGTTGCTCATGGGACTACATTTTACACCAGTTAAAGCTTCCAGGTAGCCCCATTTCCCCAATTGGGAGATGACTAGGGCGTAAGTGAGCAATTGGAAGATAGGCTCCCCAAGAAAAGGCTATAACTGGCATACAATGTGAAATTGGGCTAAGGCGCTCTTGGTCATGGCAGCCATCTCTCCTTTGAGCAGGAGTCATGAGTCTACGACAGGGATGTCAAACTCAAGGCCTGCGGGCCAGATCTGGCCTGTGGGGTGCTTAATTGTGGCCCGTGGGGCTGGCCTGGAAATATGAAAAGACCAGCCCAAGGTGCCTCTGGTGGCTATAAAGGGCTGCGTGCGGCCCTGCTGCACCTCATTTTCACCCTCATGGCCTCCTGCAACACTTTGCTGGCCAAAAATGGGCTAAAATGACCCCAAAACAGCCAGAAAATGGGACAAAAACAGGCATGAAAACAGCTGGCAGAATGCTGCAGGAGGCCATGGAGGGTGAAAATGAGGTGTAGTGTGTCCCATTTTGGCCAGCAGGGTGCTGCAGGAGGCATCCGTCCCATCCACACCCCAGTCCATGGAGTGCTGATCCAGCTATCGAAGAAATCCAGTTTGACACCCCTGGTCTAAGAGGACTCTCAAGTTACACATTGGGTCTGTTTGGGGTAGTCCAACTCCATCCAGAACCAGAGATGATAAACTCCTGGATACAGAATTAGAAAAAGCAATGGAGTATTCTTAGTATGCTAGATGACAAAATGAAAAGCTAAAAACAATGAAGACATGGGAAATCATCCTATGACCACTTGCCTAAGATACTGTAGTTATAGTATATCTTGTATCCTCAGAGATGACAGAGAAATGCATACAATTTACAAACATTACAGGTAGAGAAGGAATGTGATGTAAATGCAGTCAGACCCACATCCCAGACAATTCATTAATAATTTCTCTTATTGTTATCGCAACCATTTGAATGAAATGCATACAAATAATGAGAATGGCTATACATATACAAATTTATAAATAATAAAAAACTGGAATACAATTCATTTTTCTAGCTCCTGGTTTTCTAGCTCTTTTGTCTTATCTTATATGAGAAATCTATTCAGGAACTGAATCATTTCTGCACCTGTAAATCTTCCCCATTATGGAGATGTATGTGAGCTTGTTTCTGCTTGTTTAAATCATATAGGTTCTTATGATCTATATAACAGTAATTTATTTCTTTACATTATTTTTTTTTTGAAAATTTTATTGATTTTTAAAAACAAACATAAACAAACAAAACATAAAACATAAAAACATAAAACATCTTTTTTGAAAGCAGCATAATCTCGGGTTACATCTCTTCATACAGACACAAATTCAAATTCATGCTCATTTTTATATTCCATTCCATATCTTATTACTATTCTACATTTTCTATATAGCTTCTCCCCTCTTTTAACTTTCTTAATTTTATTTTATTTATTTCATCTCAATTCAAATCATTGTACTTATATTCTTTGTCTGTCCTATTTCAACTGTCTACTATCTTTTCTCATTGAACAAAATTTCTCCTGTAATCACTGATTGGAGTATGACGCCTTTATATCTTTCCCCTAAAATTATAACCCTTAATATAATACATAACTTCCGTTCGGATTCTGCTTGGTACATTCTAAAACTACACACTGTATTTTGAAAAAAGAAAAAATTATAAATGTATAATATCATTAAAACAACAATCCATACCAATTCAATTCTATCATTAATATTAATATTCATTTAAATCTTAATGTTTTACACATTACTTTTCAGATAAGTATCATACTTCTATGGGAACACTTATAAACTTTCCATAGTTAATTCCCCCCCACTTCACTTATATTTTATAAAACATTGAGTTATTAAAATGTTCCCGTTCCTGGGTCAAATACATAGCAAAGTTATATACCGTACTTTTATTTATCTAATTATTAGATAAATAAAAGGATGGTATATAACTTTGCTTCATATTGGATTCTACATAGATTCTAATTTATATAAAAATATATAATGATAAATGAAGAAATGTAAAAGAAATAGGTCAGCATTAAAATTGCTGGAAGAAGCAGTTACCTCAAATAGTCAGGTGTTGCTACTTATGTGACAGGAAACAAATAAGGGCTTAAGGAATTCATTGTGTAAAGTGCAAAAGCTGGTCTAATACTCAATACTGAATAAACAAAACAAAAAATTGTTTATGTGGAATGTCAAACCAATGTCAATACACTGATATAGTAACAGACTGCCAGAAAATCTTAGTGAAGAAAAAAAATGATTCTTTTGGTTTTGATTGTAGAGAAAATGTTGAACATATTTTGGATGGCAAAGTAGAAGATATTATTAAATATTACATGAAATAATACTAAACTGATAAATAATAATGAGCCAAAAACTAAGTATTTTGGACATTAAATGAGATAGCAAGAGTTCACAAAGATCCTGTTTTTGGGGAAAAAATGTTGACAAACAGGCTAACTGAAGACCAGATATGAAGAATGGTGATACAAACATGAAACTACAAGAAATTCAAGCAAGTTATTACCGACAAAGAATCCCTAGCAAAATGATGCCCATCAGATTGCTACACAACAATAAATCTTTAAGTTTCTTGTTTGCATATATCTCTTCTTTATTTTTTCTCTTATCAGATATAGCTTTTGCAACCAAGAAAATTTCTATTTATGATTCTGCAGATTTAATTCTGCTTTCACCCATCACTCTATAAGAGATACAGCATTTTTTGGCATATACTAAAGTACAATGTCTTGAAGAATTACTAGTTAATAAAAGGAAAAATATGAGTTTGAGAATATAAGTATGGAAGTGAAACAGAAGATCTTTTGGGAAAATGAAAACTGTACTTTGTTTTCTTTTGAGAAATTGATGTAAATGAACCAAAAATTTGACATCACATTATTATTAATGTAATTAACTGCATTGCAGGGATATTCAATATTCAGAATGTGGAATTATGATGTAGCCTTTATGGATATTAACTCATAATATTAAATATAATTGCATGTTGTCGAGAGTTGAAATATCTATCTCTGGGAATACAGAATTCAGTAGATATCTATCTATCTATCTCTGGGAATACAGAATTCAGTAGAAAGTAGATGTGGAACACATTCTTCTTGCCAGGATTTTTCCAAAGCATGAGAATGGGGTATTACAATGCACTAAATTTCACTCTACTTTTCCCCTTTCATAAAGATCGTTTGTTATCTTATGCTCAAGGCTGAAAATGAACATAATATTGATATATTTAATTTTTTAAATTGAATTGACTCTTAAAATTGTGAAAATTATTTCAACAAGCATTAAGTCCAAGTAGTTTAGTTTTGATCTGATTCTAAACAAGATAAAGTATCTGTACATGGACTAAGTACTCTCTTGTCTAGAATGTACTAGTGTTCTTTGATTTTTAATCCTGCCTCAATCTCTGTATGTTCTCCAGATCTGCTTTGATCAGATTTACAGGGTGCATTGAAATGGTGGAAGAGAACTAGAGATGTTTCACTACACAAATGGAAGTGGGCTCATTTAAAATTAATGGTGTTCTATTTTTTAACCATTTGATCATGATTATAGATATAACTTTAAAAGTAGAGAAGCTGTATTTATCTAAAAAGACAAATAAATTTACCATTTTATCTTTTCTGTTATAGGCCTTCTGCTCCAGCTTATTCAGATTTACCATTCATCAGAATATCCCCCCACAGAAATCCTACTGCAGCATCAGAATCTCCTTTTAGTCCATCTCATCCGTACATTAACCCTTACATGGATTATATCCGTTCATTGCACAGCAGCCCTTCTCTCTCTATGATCTCAGCTGCTCGGGGACTGAGTCCTACAGATGGTGAGTTAAAATCTGGTTTCCTATTTGCTGTTGTAGTTGCATGACCTGTGATGGTCTATAATGGTAATACAGATTGATATATTTGATAGTTGCATTCATTTTCTGAAATCATTCCTTCCAATCATTTGCAAATTTATTACATAATTATTACATCATAATTGTTTTAGTTTTTACTGTCAGCCATTTATACATTGCATTTTAGTTGTTTTTAAAATAGAAGTAAACTATAATACATGCTTTTCATTCTGCTCAGGTAAAATTATAAATATAATGAGAAATTCTTGAAAATACCAAGTATTTTATGACACACGCCATAAGAAATGAGAAATAATTTTATCTATTTTCTATAGTATTTTGCTAATTTGAAAAAAGTACAGTTCTTCTCAAGATGAATTGTTTTGGGAAGAGATTTAGGGATTTAACTACTGTTATCCATGAAGGAATAAATTAATTTAATAAATCTAGATGACAATGAAACCAGTAAAAGTTATGACAAATTTACTGCATTTGCTAAAATAGGGTCTTTTTCAGCACTATTGATGATTATAGTTGTAGAAATTCCTGACAGGAGCACAACTGAGTTTAGTCCAAGTCCATGTACAAATATTTCATCTTGTTTAGAATCAGATCAAAATTAAGCTACTTGAACTTAAAGCTTGTTGAAATAATTTTCAGAATTTTAAGAGTGTTTTTGATGCAAGGAGAAGGAAGGTGGCTTTTGATTCCCTGCATACATAGTTATTTCATTCATTGATTCAATACAAAAACGGAAGATACGTTAGTATCTTCACAGGATTCAATCCTGGCCCAATTAGCAGTAGTATTTAGGCTTATATATCACTTTACAGCACTCCCTAAATCACAAGTGTCAAACTCGATCACGTCACGTAACATCGTAACATATTGTGGCAGTTTTGGCCTGTGTGGAGATTGGATGGGTGTGGCCTGCATGTGATGCATCTTGTCCATAGGCTGCCAGTTTGACACCCCTGCCCTAGATGATTTACAACATAGCATCTTGTCCCCATCAATTTGGGTCCTCATTTTACCAATCTCGGAAGGATGGAAGGATGAGTCAACCTTGAGCCCCATCAGGATCAAACTCCAGATTATGTGTAGATTTTGTCTGCAATAGATAACTTTAACCACTATACCACCAGAGCTTTAATTATTATTGTTCTTACTGTAAAGTTAGAGATCCTCTTATCAGTAACACCTATTCTTCAAAAGATTATCGTTATTGTTACTGCACTCTTTTGATTCAGTCCATCCATATCTTTTTGATGAATTCATTCAATAAACCTCATGGAAAATAAGAAAAGTTTTATCACCCATTTGATTTGAAGATTTTGTATATTGTAAGATTTTTGTATATCGTATATTTGTATATGTATTTTTAGGAAAGACATTCAGCATTACATAAATCCAAATCACATGATGAAAATTCAAAGTTATATTCTTATATATATTGTATATTATACATTATATTGTAAATTATACATTCATAAAAATTAATAACTGTAACAAATCCTTTCGTGAACATCTTTCTTATAGCAATTCATTACATAGACTAAATTACCATGTTTACTGTTATTTCATAGTTGCTGATAAGAGAGAGGAATAAAGTAAAAATATGCATCCCTGGGTAACTAAAAGGGTTGATTCAGTTTGTGAAAACAATCCTTAAACACCTATTCAAAGTAAAATAACATTTATATATTGCAGGAAATAAAAGATGGTTGGTGTTATCTAGGTTCACAGATAAGATTAAATCATAAATCATATGTTAGAAAATGTTAGAAAACATACTTTAAAGAAAATATGCCTTGGATTTTATTTCTGGGGACTTTTTACTTGGAACCTTGACAAAGCGCCAGCCCTCATCACTTTGGCCCATCCTATCCCATCCTGGCAAGTACACATGTGTGCAGGAGGAGGCAGGCGAATGCGCACACAGACCCGACCCACAGCATCCTGGGAGGCATGTGTGTGCACAGGAGGAGGCAGGGACATGTGCGCATGCCAGGATGCAGTGGGCTGGGCCTGTGCGCTTGTATGCCTGCTGCCTCCTATGCACACATGTGCCTGCCAGGATGGCATGGGCCAGGCCTGTGCACCCACCACTTCCTATGTGCATGCGTGTCGGGATGGCCCAGGCTGAAGCAATGTTGGCTGGCCAATTATCATTTCCAGGACGGCCGCACTTACCAGCCTTTCAGGTGTGCACTCGCAGGGCAGGAGGTGTCTGGCAGCTGAGGCTTTGCAGCTGGCACTCCAAGAAGCAGACGTGGCAGCACCGGCAGCAGGCAGAGTCAGAGTCACACATGATGTACACCACTGAATGCACCTGCTCCATCCCATGTGTCTGGGACAAGGCAAGTGGTTACCCTGCGCATCCAGCAGGCCAGATCACATGTGTCTCCCCTGTGTTTCTGCCTCCAGCTACTGCCACCGCTGCGGGCCAAGACAAGGTGTGGGTGTGGGGCAGCTGCTGCAAGACACCATTGGCCCACTACTCCATCCTGTCTATTTTTGCTTGCGGTTGGAGAGCAGGTTGCCATTGATCATCTTGGCCCCCTTGTGAGTCTTGCCTTTGACCCGTGCATGGAGCATGTTCCCCTTACGAATCTGACATACCTCAGCATCGCTGTGGGCCATTGCCGCAACTAAGGCTGCCAGCAGCTCATGCAGGTCCATGATTAGGCCACTGCCATTGCTACCTGGAGTACCAAGCCACCCACCCTGAGGGAGGTGAAGTGGTCAGCTAGAAAGTCCAAGTTGAGGTGGTAGAGCATGCCCAGGCCGAGCAGGCAAAAGATGGCCACTGCGAGTGGGGGAAAGCCAGATCTCTATCAGCGCCATGGCCATCCAGATCCAACTGGGATTGCATGCCTCCCCCCATATCTGCTGCGCCTTGGCAGCCATGATGCTGATGAGGATCCGGCTTGCCTCGCTCACAGTGGCTGTCTTTTGCCTGCTGGGCCCTGGGCATGTTCTACCACCTCAACTTTTCTAGCTGGCCGCTTTGCCTCCTTTGGGCTGGGCAGGTCTGAGTGGTGGTGGTGGCAGTCCACAGCAGTGCCGAGATTCATTGGTACATATGGGGAACGTGTTCCATGTGCTGGCCAAGGACAAGACCCGCGAGGGGGAGATGACTAGCAGCACCCTGTTCTCCAACCATAAGCCAAAACAGACTGTGGGACAGAGTAAGCACATCCAGCAGTCTACATGGACAGCCAATCCGGTGGTGGCAGGATTTCCAGAACCGCAGTGTGCACCAGCTAAGGCTACAGCCGGAAACCATCCCCCCTGCACACAAAGGACGGCGAGAGCAGGGTTTCTGCTGTAGCGGCCCCGCCCCCTACCTCATCTCATCTCATCCTGCAGGATAAGCTTCCTTTCCTCACCCCACCCACAGTTGACCCCTGGATTCCCTCCCCAACTTCACCTGGTCAATATTAGTTTATATTATATACAGCAGAGCATTTTTATTAGTGGTAGAAAAATGTTTATTGCTTAAAATTTGTTAATTTCCAACAGTAATATTAAGAATTTTATAAATAATTTTATGATGTTATCCAGCAATTTTTACAAATAAAATATGATTTTCAAAATATGACACTTTCAGATATCAAATTAATTATAATTAAATGTGGTCTCTGTAATTTCTTGTACTTTTACATTGTCATGCTTCTTTAAGAACTGTATAATTTAAATAGTTTAAATTTGTCATCTGGCTTTGGGTACTAGACTTACTTTTCAATCAGATACAAATATATCTTTGTAAAAATATATGTATGTCATATACATACATACAGGGATAGGCTTCAAATTTTTTAGCAAGGGGCTGTCTGCCCTAATGACTGCCTGGGTGAGCTTGGCTGGCTGGGTATGGCCAACTCAATGCCATTCCCACCCAGTCACATGACACACACACACCAGCTACGCCTACCCAGGATTTTGTTGCTCCTGATGTTTTCTGTGGGAAATGGGTCTCTCTCTCTCTGTCTCTCCCCTCCCTCCCTCCTCATTTCTGTTTTTCTCTCTTTTTCCACCCATGCATCATTTTCTCATTTCTCTCTCATGCCTGAGCTGACATAAAGGGGACCGTGGCTGGTGCTGAGCTGCCTGTGAAGGATTCAAAATTGCTGGTTGCAGCAGTGCATTTGCAACTGGCTGCATTTTATGATTCTGCGTCCTTCGCGAGCAGCTCAGAGCAAGCCACAGTCCCCTTTGTGTTGGCTCAGGAAGGAGGAGCAGCAGCTGCCACTAAATGCAATGAGGGAAGAGCTCTGGATCTCTTGCGCAGTGTGGCTGGCTACTCACATGAGTGTGCAGTGGCGGCAGCAGGAGGAGGAGTCACCGTTGCTGCTGCCGTGATCCTGGTCCAGGAGGGTATCCTGCTTGTGTGTGTGTGCGCACATGAAAGAGAGAGAGATGAGAGAGAGAAAGGGGGAGAATTATCTTTTCTCACTCCCATCTCTCTCTTCCCCCCTTGTATGGTGGGAGGCGAGGGCTACACCTTGAGTGCAAATGTGGAACAAAGGCAAGTACAGGGCCGCTTCGCTTCTGCACTAAGGCTTCGGCCATCGCTGTGCTGTGTCCCCCCACCATACAGCTCTTCGGCTGAGCGTGGTGGGCTGCTTCCCTCCTGCACTAAGACACCGGTGCGGGTTGGAGTGGAGTGGGGCCAGCCAGCAATGGGATTTGCGGGCTCACCTCTGCATACATACATACATATATTTCCAAATCAGAACAAAAAAAACAGAACAAAAATAAAATCTCAAACAAGGAAACTTAATAAATTCAGTGTTTCCTCATCAATTGAAGATTATGTCCCTCCAAAAATATCAATCTTCTATTTTTAAGATTTATCCATCTTAGTGGAAAGTTAGTGCAAAGGCCTGGTAATAAAGCTCCCAATCTGGCAGCCCAGAGCCTCCTGTTTTTGGATTCTTGCAACAGTTTCATTCTTATTCTAGCTCTTTTTCCTTGCCAAA